CAGCTTGAAAATAGGTCAAAAAATGAAAAATCATTTTATTTTGACTGATGTAAGTCCCATTCACTTTATTTTTCCAAAACACTGAAAAACTCTGGAAGTGGCAAGATAATCTCAGTATTGTTTCTAGGGATTCAGAGACAGGAGTTAACCTACCATGGAGCAGCTTTGCACTGACTGACTTCAGGGACTATTCCACTTTCCCCCCCTGTAACCTTAAAACATCCCATGCATTCACACATCTCTTTGGTGGCAAGAAGTATGAGTTTCACCCTCATCTGCAAATGATGGATCTCATTATTGGTGCTACTATATTACAGTATATGATACACCTTTATAGAGCAACTGAAATTACTTTTACAATGCATTGTTACAGATGCCCTTATCTTTATCTATTCCTACATAATCACTTTTCTTAAGCTCAATTGAATTTGCTCTGAGGTTAAAATTTACAGAATTACATCTTAAGCACTGTATATATACCGTATTTATCGGCGTATAACACGCACAGGCGTATAACACGCACCTTCATTTTAAGAGGGAAATTTCAGGAAAAAAACTTAAATTTCAAATAAAGAACTTTGAAGCAAAATAAGGGTAGCTCAGAACTTTTTTTTATTAATATTATTACCACTTATAAGGTAAATAATGTAAAAGGACAGTAAAAGCAACTGTNAAATGAGAGATCCTTGGTGCTCTCAGAGCTTAGTTGTGCTCACTGATGATGTACCTAGTGTTGGTAATGTAATGTCTACAAGAAAATACCAAGCTCAGAGAACACGAAGAACCCTCACTACTACTAGTAGTTCTATGCATAGAATGACTTATACATTCTCAAATACGTGTCAAACTAAAAGGAAATACATAATAGTGTCAAAGATAATTGAGGAAAAAGAATAATGGTTGCTATAAGAATATCAACATAGCAAGTTTGTACATAAAACCGGTATAAATGACAAAATTTTAAATTATGCCCATGATTTCTTTTTGAGTGGTAGTACAACTTGTTTAACCTGTATATTTAATCTGCATCCATTATACGTTATTGGAAGAATATTTTTACTGCATCCTTATAAAAAGGAAATGCAACAAAAATAAATACAAAAACATAGATAATATTTAGTTAGTTACAGTAAGTGTGCTTTAGAAGGTGTTGTATATTGATTATGAGTTCTAGAAGTGACAGTGAGCAAAATCCTGGAAATTCAATTAGGTTTTATGCTGGGCATGAAATGCGTAGACTAGATATTTACTGTTCAAGTACAACATTCAGAAATGTACAAAGGTACATTTATTTCATTGAGTCTCTCTCTCTCTCTCTCTCTCTCTCTCTCTCTCTCTGTGTGTGTGTGTGTGTGTGTGTGTGATTATTCTAAATACCTAAATCCCAGGTGTAAACATTTTTTAAAAATCAATAAAATTAGTGAACTCCGAGATATAAAATAGCCTTTTTTATTAATGAGCTTTTGTCAACTTGCTGTTGACATCATCAGAGTAAGGGCTGAAGATTGGAAGAGCTTACAAATACGCTTGTGTGACCATTTTAACGGTCAGGTCATAGAACGTATGGTCAGCACGCCCGCCACCCGCTCACCCACATTTAGCCTCACTAGTTCCGGCTTTGATGTAAAAGCTGGTCTCGATCTGAAATTTGAAAAATCCTTCCTCACAGCTGTTCGGCGCGTCAGTCTCGCTGCACTGCGCGAAGCCGCACGTCAGTTGTTAGTGTCCTCATGACGCGACCAGGCAGATTACACGTCTCATGAGGACACTAACAACTGATGTGCGGCTTCGCGCAGTGCAGCGAGACTGACGCGCCAAACAGCTGTGAGGAGGGATTTTTCAAATTTCAGATCGAGACCGGCTTTTACATCAAAGCCGGAACTAGTGAGGCTAAATGTAGGTGAGCAGGTGGCGGGCGTGCTGACCATACGTTCTATGACCTGACCATTAAAACGGTCACACACACACAAGCTCTTCCAATCTTCAGCCCTTACTCTGATGATGTCAACAGCAAGTTGACGAAAACTCAGTAATAAAAAAAAGCTATTTTATATCCCGAAATACACTAATTTTATTGTTTTTTAATACACACACACACACAATATACATACTTGAGCAGGGCTTTTCATTGGCACCTGGCAGGTGGTACGCAGCCATGCCCAGCCTAGCCAAGTGTAGCAGGAGAGGGAACAAGCCAAAGCGGCGCAGCACAGGACTTGCCATGAGAGAGTCCTCGGGACGAGGCAAAAGTCCCAGGATCGGCACTTCCGGCACACTCAGAAGAGAAAGGAGGAGGAGGGGGCAGAGACAGCAAGGGATATAAAAGGGATGGATGGATGGATGGATGGATGGAAGGAAGGTACAATGGAAGGGAGGAAAGGAAGGAAGGAAGGAAGGAAGGATGGGACAATGAGAGGGAAGGAAGGAAGAAAGAGACAATGGGAGGAAGGGAGGGAAGGAAGGAAAGGACAATAAGAGGCAGGGAAGGAAGAAACAGACAATGGGAGGGAAGGGAGGATGGGACAATGGGAGGGAGGGAGGAAAGGAAGGGTCCCCCCTGCACCAGAGACCCCAGGATCCCCTCCACAGCCCCGCCCACCCACCCCCCACAGGCGCTCTGCGACCTGAGTGACGTTGAGCTAGCCACGCCTCCCGGCCATTGACTTCACTTGTCAAGGTGTAAAAAGTGATCACCTGACCCTGGGACGCTGTGATCATCATAAGTATGAATCAGTTGCCAAGCATCCAAATGTAAATCACATAACCCTGGGGATACTACAACAGTCATAAGTGTGAAAAATGGTCATAAATCACTTTTTTAAATGCCATTGTAACTTTGAACAGTCACTAAGTAAACTGTTGTAAGTCGAGAACTACTTGTACTTTATCAGTTTTTCCCTTTTTTTGGTCATCAAGTTTTTGATACCTTGCTAGTGGTGGTACTCGAATATTGCCATATCCTAAAAATGGTACAATTTGTGAAAAGGTTGAAAATCCAGGGGGTCCTCCTGGATCCACGGCTGACACTGGACGACCAGTTGACGGCTGTGGCCAGGGGGGCGTTTTACCGGGTACGCCTGGTGCACTAGTTGCGGCCTTTTTTGGACCGGGATGCCTTGCGCACAGTCACCCATGCTCTTGTCACCTCCCGCCTGGACTACTGTAATGCTCTCTACATGGGGCTTCCCTTGAGGAGCACTCGGAGGCTCCAGTTAGTTCAGAATGCGGCCGCGCGGGCGGTGATGGGAGCGACTCGTCGCTCCCATGTAACACCGCTGCTGCGCGAGCTGCACTGGCTGCCTGTGGTCTTCCGAGTGCGCTTCAAGGTGCTGATTATCACCTTTAAAGCGCGCCATGGCATTGGACCTGGTTACCTCCGAGACCGCCTTCTGCCACAGATTACCTCCCATCGGCCGATACGCTCCCACAGAGAGGGCCTCCTCAGGGTGCCGCCAACCAGACAGTGTCGGTTGGCGACCCCCAGGGGGAGAGCCTTCTCTGTCAGAGCGCCCACCCCCTGGAACGAGCTGCCCCCAGAGATCCGGGTGATTCCGGATCTCCCCTCCTTCCGCCGCGCCCTCAAGACTTGGCTGTTTCAGCAGGCAGGACTGGCCTAGGGGGTATTTTAATTGGTTTTAACAAAATTTTAATAGAGCGGCCAATTCAAATATTTATTTTTAATTATTTTAGATTTGTATTAGGTATTATGTGGGACTGTTTTAAACTGGCTGTAAGCCGCCCTGAGTCCTCCGGGAGAAGGGCGGGGTATAAATGAAATAAATAAATAAATAAATAAATAAATAAATAAATAGGCTTTAATTATGGAGTATTTTGAATGAACATACAAGCTGAAAGCTGATTGCCAAAAGCAGTGATGAGGTATATAATAGAAATGAAAGAAGTGTAAGAATAAATAAAATGATTCAATTTAAATAAAAAGTGAGTTTCATTTATGTATGTTGGTGGTTTATATTTGGATAAATCTATAAGGTACTGTGGCAACATTAGAGGTGTGGATTAAATACAAAAGTGAATGATTCATACGAAGAAAATACACTGAAATGGTTTGATCACAGAGAAACTAGATAAAGATCAAATCAAAATGGCAAGCAAGAGTAAGTGGGTCAAGAAGAAAAGTTGTAGTTACTGATATTGATGTGATCTTGAAAAAGAGACAGGCAAACTTTTAAAGAACAAAACGCAATTTAGGAAATGGGATAAGATCACAGTGGAAGCAAATAGGTTTTGTAAGGATATTAATATATGGGAAGTTTATCAAATAATGTGTAAATTATATTTAGCTATAATCAGTGCTTTTTTTCTAAAAAAAAAAACGGTGCCGGAACTCACACACATCATACAACCTGCCTTGCCTACCCTACAAGGTTCCATCCAAAAAAGGTGCCGGAACTCCGTTCTGGGCGTTCTATGAGAAAAAAAGCCCTGGCTATAATTGCTTTTATCTAATGCTTGTCTTTAATTTTTTTGGCTTGTTATGTCTTGCTCATTACTATGCTTTGCACGAGTATGTATGTATGTGTAAGAAAAAGATTAGGCGTGTAAACACTTTGAAAATAATCAGAAATCTTCAGACCTCATCCAACCATACCACTTCCCTGGCATTAATTAAAGCAACCCAATTACTTCTACTGCTCATTAAGTTAAGGCAACTCCTAATGTAATGGTATTTTCTTTATGGTTTGCATGGAAGCCTTAAAAAAGTTGAGCTACTTCATTGAATGGCAGGGAGATGCTATGCTCATGCTTGCAAGACATCCAAAACACTTTTTCCCCACAATCCTACCAAGTGTTCCCCACAATCCTACCAAATATTCCTTTTTATGCTTTTCTCTTTCCATTGCATATTGTTTTTGTGTCATGTTTTTTAAGATTATAAACAATGGGCAGGAAGTCAATGTTCATTCTTTCAGGAAAGATACACTGAGACTTCAATGAAAACTGAGAAAAATATTTCAAATAACTTCACCTCTCATATTTACCTGCTGCGAACCATTGAATCCAGTAGAATTTGTAAGTGAATTATTTCCAGCATATATTCCAGATGATGTTGTGAAACTGCTTCCTGAAATAAAACATTGAAGAGAAAGTATATAAATCTTTAGTATAACTACATTCAGTCAGATTAAAACATGCTGAACAGGGATCTACGACACATTTTGAATTTGAAATGTTCTGTTTCAAGATTGAAGAATAATCTCAAGATTAACATAGTTGTTCCAATCTTAAGGGAAGTGTTGCAGTGCTGTTTTAACAACTCCATTTTGTGCTCAACATATTAGCCCCATTTGAACTCAAAATACCAGTTGCAAATCAAAAACAGAGCTGTTCAAAGCTCAGAATAGTAAGATGACGACAATCTGTTCTGAACTCAAGACAAAAAAATTAAGTTTAAAATACTTTGAATTCAAAATATAGTGCCATATTCCTAATATTTAATTCAACATTCTGTTTCCATAGTGGCTAACCAAGGACAGGACATAAATGAAAAAGCATCCCTTTCTTGCTTTTCCCACAGCTGGTAGTCAAATGACAGAAGTCTCTCTCTCTCTCTCTCTCTCTCTCTCTCTCTCTCTGTGTGTGTGTGTGTGTGTGTGTGTGTGTGTGTGTGTTTGTGTAGTATGTATATGACATGCTTTTGACTTAAAACAGTAACTCAAGAAAAACAATGTGATTAGTCTGACTGGGTACATATTGGATGTAATATGAAAAGATTGTGTCAATATCACATGTAAAAATAGCTACAAACTATGTTAAAATTAATTTCTGTTTATCCTGGAAGAAACTAGTTATCCAGAGTTTTAAATTTAAGCAGTTTAACATCACTACGTATACCTTCTTGCTATAGAAAGAGAAAGTTTTAGCTGAAGGCAAACCTGTGTCGTGTCTAATAGTGGCACAGAAAATTATAAATTATTTTAGTGTTGTTGACTATATAGCCTTGGGCAGCACTTTTCTCTTTCTTGAGAAATTACTGTTTCTCCTGATACACAAAGCATTATTACAGTACATGGCATTTCAAACAGAAAGGCCACTGACTAAAAGGGTCTGGATACTGCAATTCACTGTCAACTTTGTTTCCCAAATGGACAGATGGCCCTCTTGTTTTAATGTCTTTATCTACAAAGCTATATTTTCTTTTAAGCCCAAAAGCTAATTTGAACATATGGATACTTAGAAGGAAAACATGTGGACAATGGATTTTAAAAAAAGCAATAAAGAAAAAAGCTGTAAGTGATTAAAAATATTGTATATACAGAAAAGATGCAGTAAATAACCCTTTAACTGTTTCATTCATTTGATAAATCTTGTCAGATGGAATTATGAAAAGGAAGAAAAATTTAGTGGAACGATGATCAAAATTACCAGATGATCCATATATATATGGATCCCCCAATATTGTATTCTTGACACATATTAATAAACCTGAGTACAACTAACCAACATATATGCTTATTTAATATATTCATAATATGTGGAATTATATAGCAATGTAAAACATAACTATGTATGAACTAAGTAAAATGAACATTTCTAATAGTATTTGTTGCATCTTGATTAAGTTTTTTCTTGGGCTGGTTAATGACTGCAGTAGAGTTATTTCAAATTAATTTTTTGAGAATATGCTTAATGGAGTCTTTGCAATACTTATAGTCTAAAGGACTATCAGCTTGAAAATAGGTCAAAAAATGAAAAATCATTTTATTTTGACTGATGTAAGCCCCATTCACTTTATTTTTCCAAAACACTGAAAAACTCTGGAAGTGGCAAGATAATCTCAGTATTGTTTCTAGGGATTCAGAGACAGGAGCTAACCTACCATGGAGCAGCTTTGCACTGACTGACTTCAGGGTTATTCCACTTTCCCCCCCTGTAACCTTAAAACATCCCATGCATTCACACATCTCTTTGGTGGCAAGAAGTATGAGTTTCACCCTCATCTGCAAATGATGGATCTCATTATTGGTGCTACTATATTACAGTATATGATACACCTTTATAGAGCAACTGAAATTACTTTTACAATGCATTGTTACAGATGCCCTTATCTTTATCTATTCCTACATAATCACTTTTCTTAAGCTCAATTGAATTTGCTCTGAGGTTAAAATTTACAGAATTACATCTTAAGCACTGTATATATACTTTCTCAAGATTCATCAATTTACAATAATTTTAAAATGCATATTAATTAGTAAATGCATTTCAGTACATTTCACAAAATCATTAATAAATGCATGAAGCAACCCATGTCTCATTTAGGCTTCATTAGTGTGAAAGAAAAAAATAATATTAATATCCAAGCATTGCTACAATATCTAGGCAATTATTAAAATAACTGTCAAATACTTCTTGATTAAAATTCCTTTAACTATTAATACTTTTGGAACTGTGCAATGGTCCAACACATATTCATAACCTTAAAAGTGCAAAAAAGCCAATGATAACTATTATTGCATCTAGAGTAGTATATTATAAAGAATGGCTTTTTAATGTTATAGCTATTACTGACTGCTACAGAGAATGAGTAAGACTCACAAACTGTAAGAAATAGAAAAAGGATTTCTGAAATCTGCATCCAGGCCACTAGAGTAGAAATTCTTTCATGTTTGCCACATCTTATCAAGGTTTATCATGACATAAAAGTTTACTGCTCTTCCATTAGTTATTAAGAGCTTACAAATATAGTAACTACTGTATTCTAAAATACAAAATCTTTATTGTAACATTAAACATTATACAGCTTTGAAAACCAAAGATATTTTTTAGAAATGAAACATGCTCAGTTGCTGGCACCTGGAAAATGCTGAGACTATCATCATTTATATGCAAAGAGATTTTTGCTCATTACTTCCATAAAAAATATCCCAGTAGTTTATATTATTTTGTAAAAGTAAAAAGTTGAGGTTTGAAGTTGATATTCGACTTTACTGCACCAAAGGAAGTTGGAAGTCAGTGCCTTTTTTTCTCCCTTACTTCACTTCTCTACTCCCTTTTTCCTTCCATATCTTTTCTGCTATTTACTTTTGTATTTTCATTGCATCGTATATGATAAACTAATAAAACTTTACATTAAAAAAATATTCCACTAGTTATATGTTTGTTACACACACCTTGGGCTATAGAAATATCTATGATTAAGGTCCAAAATATATGAAACAAAAATCAGCACTTGTGTGGACAGGCAGCATTATAAATGTATAATTAATTTCTGTTTGTTTTCCCCCCGTTTTTAAGGTACTTATGACAACCTTAGTTTTCACAATGTCATCCCCATAATATATGCCTAAATAATACATATATATTTGGAGTTATTTCTAAAACACCATGCAAGCAGTATTATATGCAGCTTTCAATGTGGTGTGATATAGTTTCTTTTAACAGTAGTCAAATGCAACAATTATTTAGGCATATAGTGGAATATATGTCTGCCTGTATAATAACATACACATACCTTTTAAGTCTTTAATGAGAAAAACAGAATAAGCAGACAACTTATTATTTTGGTAACATTAACTTAAACAATGAGAAATATAATTATCCATGGGGGTTGGATTAAATGACCTACAAGGTCCCTTCCAACTCTATTATTCTAAGTCATATGACAAAATATTCATTTGAATATCATGATGAAAGCCATAACCATGACCTTTGACATGCCTTTGACATTTAGTGTCCTAATTTCTAATTATAACCCAAACTACCCACATTATCCTCTACAGGTGACTTATAATTGTTTAACAATGATTCAAATTTAGAACAGCTTCGAAAAAGGGGACTTATAACCAATCCTTAAAGTTGTGACTGGGCATCACACCTGCGCTCCTATGATCGCAGTTTTAGCATTTGGTAACCAGCTCGCATTTATGACAGTTTTATCATTTTGCAGCTATGTGGTTGCAAATTATGACTTTCCCAGTCGGCTTTCAATAAGCAAAGTCAAATGGGGAAGCAGAATTTACTTAATGATGTCCTATTCAGTTAATTATCATTATCATTTGCTTAACAACCAAGTGATTTGCTTAACCACAATAAAAATGGTTGTAAAAATTGGTCTCGTCATGTGATGACTCACTTAATGATATTGCTTATTGATCAAATTTCCAGTTCCATTTGTAGTTCAAAGTTGATGACTACCTGTACATGATAATATGTTTGACTCTCTCTACTAGTTTCCATGTTAATTATTATAATTATAAATTCCTATGTTTGGGATCAACTATTAAGATTCACATTTTATTTATTACATAAACTTGGTACAAAATTAGTAATAACTATAATAACATAAAAATGATAAAGAACACAAACCACAGGGATTCATCATTGATTGCACTAAAATATTATGATTTTCTTTTACACAAAGCTTTAATAAAATGGTTAAAGTCAAAAATTATCAAAATAAACATGAAACTAAACCTGGATTTTCTACCTCAGGGGTTCCCAACACCCGAGCCGTGGCCCATTACTGGGCTGTGGCCTATTTGGAATCAGGCCGCATGAGCAGCTGGGGCAGCTCAACTCCCGCCCTCCCCAGACGTGCCGCCAAGTCCCAAAAGTTGGGGGCCGCTGGTCTACCTGACAATTTCAAAGGCAAGAATATTAACTTGTCAGTGTTATATTAGAATTTAAATTTTGGGTTTGTTTTGTACTGATGACTGACATAAATTGATCATTTCCTGTTGCAGAGTAACATGATATCATCTAGTAACCATAGGACAAGGATTAACAGATCTATCAGACTGGCATTAATTTCTGGTGAGGCCTACTGAATTCATTAGTATTTATTATAAATATCAGACTGCAGCAACTTCTCAATATTTATGATTGTCTTATTTGTTTCAATTAAGCTTGCTTCCTAAATATATAATTTAAAATTGCAAGCCAACGAATGGATATCAATACCCTAATAATTTTCCAGAAATTATTAACAACCCAGTTTTCCTCCAGGTTTGGGGAAAGGATGGCTGAAGAGCCTCACAGTTTTTATTGTTTTGTAATTATAATTATAATAACAACAATAACAATAATAAAGTTGAAAAGGACCGTGGAGGTCATCTAGTCCAACTCCATGCTCAGGCAGGAAATCCTATACCATTTCAGACAAATGACTGTCCAGTCTCTTCTGAGGCTGTGTTCTAATTGTTTTTGAGGATTTTGCCATGTTGTTTTTCTTTTCCTTTTATCTGCGTGGTGCCCCAAATCACTAATAATTCAGATGGCCTCTAAATAGAATAACTAAATAAAAATAAAACTAGTGTGTTTGTATATACTTATCCATGTGAGTTTATAGACTTTCCTAATCTTAAAATGATGTGCATGCATGTGAATATGCCCACTTAGAACTGTCAAAGAGAAAGAAACACAGTTTACCAAGTGTTTCATTCATGTAAACATGTGTCACATATCTCTTTGAATGACTGAAACTGATGTATAATTATAATTCTATAATTCTTTAGGGTTCACATAAATACCTTTCTGTTCTCCTAGCTTGTAATCATTCTGAATAGACATTATAAGACTTGTGATCTGAATATATAATGTTTTAATTGAATGGGATTCTGAAACAGAATTGGTAAAGGATTGCATGATCAAATGGGCCCAAAACATCGAAGAAACTATAATGTTGGAGACTTGGGAAAAAATTTGGATCAGGAATGTTAAATTTACACAGGCACAAAATTTACGGGAAAATTTTTACAAAATGTTTTACAGGTGGCATTTAGACCC